ATGATGATTATATGGCGGCGGTGAACCGTCATCGATGGCATGTTGTTTGGATTAAGCCGAGTTGTTCAGTGGTACGTAGACTTCGTTCGTCACACGACGAAACTTGCGCGAGTAGACCAAGAAAGTCGATGCGGCCGCAACGACCATGCCCATCAAGAGCGCCACACGCGCTCGAAAGCTGCAAGTCCCCATGAAACGGTGTCATGTTGCTTGGTGTCGTACCTCATGTAGTTGAAACAGAAGAACGAGGCGGCAGTCGCGCCAGACTGGTACGCTTTAGTGAGGGAGAACGCATTGACTGCGTCGGTAGAAAATTCTTGGCCCACAACCACTGCGCAAGAGTTAGCGGTCGAAATCGCATCAAAGTGTCACCGTTTGAAAGTGTCGTCGACGCTGCATCAGCCACGATGAGGATTTGAGTCTCAACCACGAGTCGTCTGTACCTGAGTCGCCCACGCTGAGCAAAGTCGCAATCGACAGGACCAGGAACCACTGGCTGTCGCACTTGACAACTTGAAAGGTGTAGCACATCAAATACGCGGCAAAAATCGATGCGTAGCCGATGGAGAGGCCGAGGAGGGGCCCAAACCTGCGAATTTTGCGTGATGGAGTGTAAAGTCGGCGATCAAGATTGTACCTGTCGGTGAGCTTTCCAAATCCGTACGACCCCAGCACCGTCACGGCGCCGTACACGGTCATGACGTACCCGATCGAAGCACTGCCAAGCGATTCCCGAATGAAGCTGGATGTGAATTCGCCCATGGCAAAGCCTCGTTGCACCCCCCCAAAGAGAAACATGGGCAGCAAAATGAGAACGCGGCTATGTGTGGCATCAAACGTAGAGTGACTTCTGCTGGTGAACCGAGGCATCGGCAGTAGAATACCTGTCCTTGGCGAGTGTCCATAGCTTGGCAGCAGAAAACACGGGTGGTCGCACGCCGTTGAGACTTGCCCCTTCATCTGGATGTGTCGCATGTTTCTTTGGCAGCGTAGGCAAAAGCATGAACAAGGCCGTCCCGGAGAGCCCCAGACAGGTGTAAATGAGGAACAGCGTTGTCTTGGGCCTACATAGCCCAGCTCACTCAATTGCTTGGCAGTCAAGCGGCGGGACTACCATTGCAGCCAATCCAACACGAGCGACGAGATCAAGTTGCCCGTGATGCCGCTCATGTTAAAAATGCCATAGAAGAGCCCGTTGAAGTGCCCCATCGAACTGATCACGGGCTCGCCTTTGATCGTCGCATATACGACGCTCAGATCCGTAAGATAGCTCGCCTACGTTCGGTCTAAGCAAGCCATTCCAGTGTCTAGACGGCAGCCGCACGTATGTACCTGGGAAATCCACAACACCGACGCGGACAGTCCCAGGAGGACCGCCGCGGATAGCATGATGCCTCGGTGTAAATCTTGGTCGTTTGGGGTCCACGCGACGACCAAGTTGGCAAAGGCAAAGAGCGCACTGCACCCACCACGTCGTGATCAATGCCCCACCACTCGATGCATGACAAATCGTCTTACTAGAAGAAGGACGCAACGAACAAGCTCCGCTTCATGCCGAGGTAGTCTATACTTCCCAGAGTTGTCAGTGGCGCAGTTGCGAGGGAGAACTGTACTGGGAATGACCGGGCCAACGAACGCGCTCAACGTGAACGCCAGGTACACGACGCCAAGAATGGTATTCCCCAACGACGCTACGGGATCAAAAGCGCGTTAGGGTAAAATGCTTCCAGGTCTACGATTCTGCGAACGTACATTCGCACTCGGTGAAAGGAGGTGCGCACGCATCGTCACAGGTAAACTTGACCTTGTCTTGGCATACGTCGCCAGCTTGGCAAATGCCCGCGCCTTGGAGACATCCACGGCATTCGCCCGGAATGATCGACGTTTGCAAACTCTAGCGAGAGGCGGTGAGAAGGAATGACGGCGCCACACTCACCTCGATCCCGCCGTATGACGTGAAGACGAGAAGGAAGGCCAGGGACAGAACCACGGCCGCACGAGTGCACTCCCTCGAGTTGTGCATGGTGGCGGTCGTTGGGTGGTGATAGGAGACCGTGTTGGCGTTTGGTGCACCGGAACCAACCGTAACGCAAAACGCCTCCCCCGGAACGTTTGTACACGTAGACAGTACAACTCGCCCCTCTCACGACTCGTTGCTGCTTCTGTCACACTTGCAACACTCGTTCTTGTCGCCTTGTAGCTGTGACTCCTTCTCTCTCTCTCTCTCCCTGCGACGCTCTTCTTTTCCACAGCAGAATCCATCGAGATCTTGGTGGTCGTAGATGCAGCATCGTCCACCTCGATTCCACCACGGCCACAACTGTTCCAAAATATTATCTCCGTCCACCCGACGACTCCGATTTCCAACAACTATCCAATCAATGCGCGCAGAAATATTCTTTTACACCAATCAAACGACACGTTCCGTCAAAGTTAAACGAGCGTTCGTTGGGAGAGTGGGATGATTGTGCAACGCTTGGGTGCTTGGGGCCACGGGACGTAATGCGTGGACGAAGTATTTTATGACCAATGACAGTTCTCAATTTACCAGCTTAAAAAAATACTGCAATAATTTAAAGGCCAATAGCAGAGGGCCATAGAGTTCACATTTCGCGGTTTATATGAATTGGCGCGATTATTTAATTTCATCCAATAAAAATCTGTTTTAGCACTATCACTCTCTCATTGGCTGAAATTTGTATGTGTGATATTCAAACTTCGGTGTGGCTTAAATTCCCTCGTTGTCTGTAACTTGGAGCGACACGGGGTGCGGTAAACACTGTAGAGCCTCGCGCGACTTCCGATCGTGTTGGAGAAGACTGCACGATTCGAAGGCAGTCGTCGTCGGTGTGCAAGGTGGCGTGCACATGAAGTGCTTGCCTCTTTGTTACATTCACCTGTGGTCGTAGCACCGCTTGCAATGCCCCATTCGGCCCTGCTTTCCTCGCGCGACCCTGCGACACTAGAACACCACCGAAATGAAGAGGGCAAAGCGTTATGCGTTTCACATGTGGCTGCCGGGTGAACCAACGCGGGCAGGTGTCACACTGTTACGGGTGCTAAGGGGGGAGCCTGGATCCGGCGTCCATCCATTTGGATCGAGCCGTGCTCATTGAAAACGCTAGAACGCTCCATTCGGCGCACGGCGAAACTTCTTGGAATAGACCACGAAGGACGCGGTGGCGATCAGCACCATGCTGATCAAGATCGCAACCCGGCCATTGAAACTGGATCCACGAAAATTGTCTCGGATCGCCCTCTGTGCCATGGCATGTGGGGTCGTACCTCAAGTAGCGAAAGCCAAAGTAGGACGCGGCAGCCGACCCCGACTGGAACACTTTAAAAATCGAAAACACAGACACGGCATCTGACGGAAACTCTTGGCCCAACACAACTACAAATAAGGCGGTCGATGTCAGCCATGCGTGCCGTCTGGGTGGGCCGTCGCAAGGGAATAGTTTGTCTCTCACCGCTTGTCAAGGTTGTCGACGCTACAAAACAAAAATCGTGAGATTTCCATGTACTTGACGACGACTCGTACAGGCGTCTCCGAGGCTGAGCAGCACGCCAACCACCACCACAAGCGCCCATTGACCGTCACACTTGGCGACGGGGACCCAGTAGCACAACGAAAACGCCACCAGCATCGCGGCAAACCCGACCAACTGGCCGCTGAGGGGGCCGTATCTAGGTGCCGAGGTGAGGACGATGCAAATCGACACGACCGTTGTAAATCAATTCGCAGCCTACTTGTCCGCGAGTTTGCCAAATCCGTAGGACGCAGCAACGTTGGTCCCGCCATACAACGCCATGACGTAGCCGATAGAGCCGCTGCCAAGAGATGACCGAATCACGTTGGATGTGAATTCACCAGTCGCAAAACCTTGCTGGAGACCATTCAGAATAAACACGGGAGCAAGCACGATCATTCGACTAGGCCCAACACGATCAACATCACCATTCACAAGGAGGTGTCAATACTTGTCCGTGGCGACAGCCCACAGTGCTTGGAACGAGAACCCACCGCGCGATGAGCTTTCTCCATCAGTTGGCGATCTGGCGGGGTCGCTGGACGGGACGAGCTTGGCGAACTCGGTGTTGCCAGTTGGTTTGGCCAAAGCTGGCAGGGCAAGCATGAGGGCTGCGCCGAACATTCCAATGATCGTGTACATGACAAACAGGCTCTCCGCGGGCCTGCGACTGAGTGAGGGGGTGATGGGAATGAGCACGTTACCAAACAAAGTAGCTCAGCACAAGCGACGAAATGATGTTGCCAGAGATGGCGCTCATGCGAAAGATGCTGTAAAACACGCCGTTGAAAACCCCCATCGAGCTCACTACCGGCTCGTGCTTGAATTTCGCATACAACACGCTCAGCTCCGTCAAGTACGTGGCCTACACAACCGTTTACGTCACCAAATTCCTTGCTTCATACGGCAGTTGGTACCTGGGCAATCCACAGGACCGACGCCCCAACGCCCTCCATAAATGCCGCCGGGATCATGATTGCCCAATGGAGACCTTGGTTGGTGGGGTTGAGCGCCACGATCAAGTTGGCGAAGGCAAAAAGCGCGCTAGGTGAGTCGATGTGAGCGATAGTGTTGCCTGTGCAAGGTGGCGTACTAAATGAACGCGCTGCCAAACATGCTCTTCTTCATGCCAAGGTAGTCTAGCACCGAGGAATCGTCGCATCAAGCAATGTTGAACAGAAGCATGAGTGTGTCCCTTCGTACTGGGAATAAGCGGTCCCATGAATGCACTCAATGTAAACGTGAGGTAGATCACGCCGAGGATGGTGCTCCCTAGGGAGGCTACACCACATCGTCATGAGGTGGATGCCACACAACGTTCGAAACGAACAGGAGCACTCGTGAAATGGAGCCGCGCACGCTTCGTCGCACGCAAACTGGACCTTGTCTTGACAAACGTCCCCAAACTGACAAATGCCAGTGGGAGACCCCGACAGACATCCCTGACACTCGCCACGAATGACGGACGTTTCGAGATTCTACCGACGACATGAATGGAGTGACCACGCAGGCTTCCGTAGTACCTCGATTGCGTTGTACGACGTAAAGATGAGCAAGAACGCGACGGAGAGGACGACTGCCCCACGGATGCACTCACGGGCGTCCTTCATCTCGCCCGACAACCTTGCAAATGTGCGTTCGCTGATAACGCGGCCCAGAAGATCACGTTCGATCACCCTAAAACACGGATTTGTATCGCGATATACAATAAAATTTGCCAAAACACTCTGAAAGGCTGAAAAGACCGTGGGATAAGATCGAAAAAAACTACCCGAGTACATCATGTACACCATGTGCTTCACTCAAAATATCCCACGAGGCAGTATCACACAAAATGATCATATCTTGGTTACCAAAAACTTGTCTGTCATTCAAACGCATAGTGTTTGCACTACTTTATTCAAGATACTTTTTTGCATTTGACGGAGAGCATGAGATTCGCCCCTTATGTACGAACACCTTTGACATGGATGCGATATATATCAGGATATGGGGTATTTTGAGCGACATGATCACCTCACACTGACCCTGGCGATGACGTTGCACAGAGCTTCGCTGGGCTCACTGGCTCATGGCTGGCAATGCTGCAAGCGAAACCTTGCCTATTGGCTCTTGCGAGGTCCCAGCATCGACGAGGTACGCTTCCGAGCCCATTCGGCGGAGTAGAGATTCGCTCAATGGCATTTTTCGTTATCTTCACCCCGTCACTTGAATGGATGTATAGTACAGTGGCTGTCAAAAGTCTTCATGTCCCTAATAATATTCTTGTTCACGTTTCAACGTCGACTACGATAAAATCATCCTCAAAAAGAACAATGCATTGACGTAAAGCTTAACGTGTGCTCGATCAATGTGATGCAGATTGAACAAGATCCGATGAATTGCGGGCGCCAAAACTTCATGGCAAAACTTGCGATACAAATAGTTCAATCCAAAAGTCTTCGTACCCATGAACTTTTTTGTCGTTCCTCTTGAAGTACAGGGTAAAATGAGCTCGTTTAACATTCATAACACTTATCAACTTGCACTACATCGCCTACCTTAGCATACCGTCCGACTTTGAATGTTCGTCAACCATCCTCTTGCGCGCAAGGAGCTCTCCCAAGAACTCCGGTCCCTAGTGATTTCAAAGCACCTTGAAGGTCTTGGATATGGCAAAATTGGCTCATGTTTAAGTATACCTAAGTCGACTGTCCGAAACATTGTTATGTACTACAAGACACTCAACCAAACAACCACTCTTCCACGTTCTGGGCGTCCTACTGCAACTACACCACATGAGGACCGCATTATGTCGAGGGCAGTCTAGGCAAACTGCCGGCTTAATGCCGAAACATTGAAGGATACTTTCGCAGCATTTCATGGAAATGACATTTCGACGTCTACAATCCGTCGGCGCATTAAGGCAGGTGGCTTAAACGGTCGCGCAGCCAGACGCAAGCCGTTCATCTCGAAGGCCAACAAGTTTAAGAGACTTTCGTACGCCCGGAAACATCGACTTAGTTGCATTGAAGACTGGAAGAAGGTCCTATGGACAGACTAAAGTCCCTTCAACTTGTCGGGATCGAATGTACGGACCTTTGTGTGGCGTCGACCTGAAGAAGAGTTCTCAGACGAATTCCTTGCTCCGTCCGACATTCAAAAGTGGTCGTCAAACTGTTATGGTTTGGGGTGCTATTGGCTACAATGGTACTGGAACGCTTGTTTTCTGTGATGGAGTTATGAAGTCTACTGATTGTCTGGCCATGATCGAGGACAAATTGCCTGAGAACTTTGTGAAATTGGCACTTGCCGTGGACTTTGAGTTTATTCAAGACAATGCACCGATTCACAAGACGAAATTTGTACAAGATTTCTTTGATGAGAACGCATTTTGCATGTTGAGTCATCCACCGCAGAGTCCCTACTTGAACCCCATTGAATATGTGTGGGAGTACATGAAGCGTAGAGTACGCAAAAATCCTCCATCATCGCTGGAGCAATTGAAACGTCAATTGATGGCAATCTGGGATAAAATCACAGTTGCATTCATCCAGAAATTGATCGAATCAATACCTAAACGGCTCAGCAAGGTCATTGCCAACAATAGAGGTACTACGAAGTACTATTGCCGGTCCGGACCGCGCCTAACACCCAAGCACAAAAACGACCGCGTCAACTTTGCCAGTCGACACCTCCACAAGGCCGCGGAATTGATAGCGACTATGTTTATCGACGAAAAGAAGTTCAGCCTAGACGGTCCAGACGGTCCAGACGGTGGTCAATACTACTGGCATAACCTCAGGCATGACGAACACACCTTCTCCAAGCGTGTGGGTGGTGGCGGTTCTGTTATGGTTTGGGGAGGGGTAAGCTTCTACGATATGGCGGAGCTAGCCATCCTAGACGGTTGACAAGATTCCGTGAGTATCAAGAAACGCTGCAAACGTAACTGTTGCCTGCCATGCGTGAATTGGCGGTCCTTTCCGAGCCGGCCACCCCTACGTTCCAACACGACAAAGCCAGTATCCACCGATCTCGCTCGGCATTCACCTATCTTGACGGCATGCCATGGCCAACTATGCAGTGGCCTGCGAAAAGTCCCGACTTGAACCAATCGAGAATGTATGGGGCGTTCTAGACCGAAACGTCTTCGCGAACGGTCGTCAGTTTGAAACAAGGGCTGAATTGAAGGTAC